TCCAGCTTTAGTGACTGGAACAAGCTCAGAAAAAACATTGCTCTGTAGGAGCACAGTGTCCCTGTTTCAGGTGGTGTGTATATCATAAGTTACTTCTATTGGTTTTGCTCTTTTGTACAGATATGTGAATTAATTACCTACTTTTAAATGCTGATAACTGTAATTTTAGTCTTTTCGTGCTTTAGAGATAGGTCAATTTCAGAGGTCTTTTGCAGACTTGAGAAGGTGCTTTGGTCATGCCTTGCAGAATGGGGTGGGAAGCAATGGGGAAGTACTTTTCCCAGGTGTCATGAGAGTGATGCCAAACAAGTGTTTTCTGTGAACATGAATTTCTTGTGGAACTCCTGGAAGTGTGTTTCACTGTTGTTTTCCTACACTATTTCATTGTTGTAATAGTCTAGTGGATATATGTTTTGATTGAGAGCCTGGATTGAGCACTCGGGCTCTGTCAAGAAGTTCTGTTACAAAAGAGGTAGCATCTCCCAAAAAGCTCTGGGAAAGCCTTGTGAAGCAGAGAGGCATTGCTTTGGTGGAGGAATATGTTACTGAGTCTCATTGCAAGAACCGGCCCACTTCCCTCCTTCCTGTGTGCCTTGCTAGGAAAGGAGGAGGAGGATGGAGCTGGAATTGCTCCCACTTCTGTCACTCTCCGAGTTCATTTGTCTGCAGAGGAAAGATCTGTTCAGGTAGTTCCTGCTGTAACCTGCTCCTTGGGCTGGGCTGGCATTGCCTGAGGGAGTAAGGAAGTAAATGCCTCTGCAGGGAATGGGTATAATGGGAAGATCTAAATTATCCCTCAGATTTAAGTTAATAAAATAAGCCCTTTTTTTAAAGGGCTAAGGTAGGGCTTCCAGGTTTCTGTCTAGGTGAGCTTATTTTGTGTGTGCAAAGAAGCTGATAAGAGATCAAGTTTGTACACGTTTCTGAAGCTCTGTTGCACTGCTCTGACATTGAGCTTTAACTTCTACAAAAAACAATAATCCAAAATATAATAGAAAAGAATAGAATAAGCTATTTCTCTTGGAAGGGATCTGCAAGGACCATCTAGTCCAACTGCCTGCCGGATTTAGGGCTGACCAAAGTTAAAGCACGCTGCTAAGGCCGTTGACCAAATGCCTCTTAAACACTGACAAGCTTGGGGCATCAACCACCTCTCTAGGAAGCCTGTTCCAGTGTTTGACTAAAGTAGTTGTGGCACTGAAATTTTGTTTTATTTACAATGTATATATTTTTCAACACTTGGTATATTAGTCTTTCCAGGCTGTTCTTACATGGCCTGGGACACCCTAAGTGGGTTTTTTTGATTATTTCTAATAAAGTTCTCTGCATCAGTCTCTTCCCCAAACCTTCATGTGACCAATGCTGAGGTGTGTCATCCTTGGGAGAAGTTTTTGGTGCAAAGCTCTTCAATGTGTTGATCAAAGTTGTGGAAGAAATGTACAGTCGTTGCTGGTAAGATTGGCAGTTCTCAATAAAATGGTGGATTGCCTGTGTGCAGAGCTAATAGAACAGGAAAGTCAATGCTCTTGAGTGATCTGCATTTAAATGCAGTGAAAGGCAAGGTCATACATCCAAAAACAGGGCACAAAGAACTAAATAAGCTGTCAGACTTTTCCTTCATCTCCTCTTCCTTCTTTTTCAGCCTGAAAGGCTGCATTTTGGTCTGGCTCGGGAGCTGGATGAATCCTTTTGCCTTTTCTAGCTGCAGAGTCTGGAGGAGGCTCACAACGTGCATCGCTTTCTCCAAGTGTTTTTCTACCTAGGAGTTTCCTAGAAAGGACCGCAGATGAACTTTGAAGAAAAAGAGGTAATTAAATTGTTCGGTATCAAAGTTGGCTTCTCACAGAAGAAATGAACAGCGTGCTAATTACAGTGCTGTCTCACTGCAGCTTCACAGGTGTGAAAAGGAAGGGGAAAGCACCCTTGATGTGTGCACAGACATACACAGGGACACCTCATGCAGCAGCAGTGAAAGCATCCTCAGAGTTCAGTGGTATTTTTGTTTTCACGTGTGTAGTGAACAAGCCTCTGCCAGCAATGTTTGGGGGGAAGTGCAAGTGGCATAAGAGTGAGAAAGACTGGTCTGCCAAATAAACACATTTGTGCCAGCAGTGCAAATGCATTGTGGGTGCAGCCATCTCCATCAATCACATCTCTTTGTGATATTGTCTAGCTGCATTACAGCATCTTTTTTTTTATTAGTGCATATGTATATAAGGATGTAGATTATGCTACATATGAAACACATTGTCTAATAATTACATTAACTGTACAAGCACTATATTAAAGTCTAAAAAAAAAGATTTTGCGAATGTGGGAAAGGAATTGATCAAACATAGTATGAGGTTCTTCTTTCTGGTTTCACTCTGCCCTGTGAACTCCATTTCTTTAGCAGCATATAGTTCCCTAATGCTTTTATTGGAAGTATTGCTTTACATTCAAACTTGGCATTAAAGAGATGTAGTTCTGCGCTAAGGGAAGACTGTGCTGAAGGAAAGGATGCTTAAATATTCAGGTTTAAATGTAGTATTAGATATATTTTGAACAACCATGATGTTCCCTTTAACAGAAATGCTTTTATTTTTTGTGTGTCTTTTCCAAAGGGTAGCTAGCATATCTTACCTTACAACGAATCAAACCTTCCATGGAGGTTGGTATTAAAGTGTCTCCAAAGTACAGGAGTATGCCTTCCCAAATACAGTCCAAGACAGGCTCTGCCATGTGTTGATCTGGAGCCAGGGTGAAGACTGTAGCTCAAGGAGAGGATGAAGGGAGCAGAAGTGCTGATGTGTGGTGGAAAAGCAGTTGTCCCACGAGAGGGCAGGCAGCAGCGTGGCTGGCATGGGGCATGGCTGGATGGGACAAGTGTTGTGCAAAGCAGCGGCGGGATGGGAAGGGATGAAAGCATAGGGGTGAACTCCAGCGGCAGGAGGATGCAATTGTAAAAGATTTTCAGATGGTGTGAAGGGGAGATGACATAACTGCACCAAAGGTATTTTGGAGAGGAGTAGGTGAGAAGAAAAAAGATATTTTGAAGCTAGAGCAAAAGGCATTTGTGGTGACCTGGACAGCACACTGATGTGTGTTTTAGTAGTGGCAGTAGGGAAGAAGATGGTGGAATTGAGCAATGTGAAACGAGAACATCTGAAGACAGGATGGGTACAATGGCAAACGGGAAGTGCTGGAGATGACAGGAGCTTGTCCTTTGTGAAATAACTGTTTCTGATGCCAGGTGTGGTAACCATCTAGCATCAAAAAAGGTGCAGCTTAATATTCCTCTGTGAAAGTTACTTTCTCTGTTACCTTTGATCCCTCTCTAGTAATACAGGGCTTAACCTTCTTTTTCCAAACGAATCGCTTAATTGTTTGGCCAGATACAAATTAGCTGCCCATTTGCCTCCCTTCTGTAAAATCTTCCCTTAAATTACCACAAATTTATTCTTCTGGAGGGTTGTAAAGAGTGGTTTATGAAAAACCTGCTTTTTATCACATGTGTGTGAGCTTTCCACTCCATTGTTTCCCCTCTTGCTTTTTTCCTTCACCCGTTATAAGACACGAAGTTGTGAAATTCTCCCTCATGCCTGCATGTTATGCAGTGTGATCCATTTAAGGTGTTCCTCTGTCCTTACTGAGACTAAATTAACATTTTTTTTTAAAAGGAGCAGTGTAAGCCAATGGCTACAATTTGAGCATAATTGTTGCTTTTATTAAGAGTAGGCTTACGAATTGAGAAATATTGCCACAAAACATCCCCCTTGTTTCATGCGGTTAGTGCAAAGAAAACGTGAAAGCTGGCTGGCTATGTAGTCCCTCAGCCTTAGGGGTCCAGAGGGTATAGAGGTGGTTTGGGAGTTGTGCCCGTGTGGAAGCAGAAGTTCCTCTGTGCTCCTGTGCACAGGCTGATGCTGTCTGCTAAGCACCCACTGGAGCAGCCTGTGGAGCATCTTCAGTGACTTACCCTGTTCCTGTCTTCCCAAAATAGCCATCCATAATATTACTCCACAGACAAAAAGGGCTATTCACAACTAACATAAAAAGGTTTAAAAAAAAAAAAAGGATGATATAACAACAACAACAATAATAATAATAAATTCTGTGTATAACAGTGAAAACCCAAAGAGAAATAGGAGAAAACACTTGGCAGTTATAATAATACTTCAGGCTACTAAAAAGAGGTGCGTTACCAGTTTCTGGGAATGACAGGCATGTTTGCTCTCCATACTGGACTCAAAATGTTGTTTACATTTATCCTTACAGGAACAATCCTATCTAAGGAGGATTTTGTGCCTGAAACTAGCCTTTGCCTCTTCACCCCTAGTTCAACAGACCCGCCTGTATCCAAGCGG